TTGACGTCGAGTTTTCATGTCAGCAAACTTAAGGTTAGTGGTACCACTCCAGCTGTGCCAATATATTCCTCCCCAGGCACTAACATGTTGACCGTAATTACCATTGAGGTGTGTATAAAAGCAACCACTACCAATCCCGTGTTGCCACCATCCATTATTGCCCCATGTACTGATGCAGTTGTCAAAATCGTTGTCGTAAGTAGCAAACCTGTGGCCATTGTAAGCTGCCAGATTATTCCCAGCAGTCCCTGAGTGACCTCCCACTGTGACTGGTTTCATTCCCAATGTTAAATTCCGAATACTTTGCATATCCCACGCTGCCATCAAAACCTCCAAAATCCACTCGTAAAGTATTTGTCTCTCCTTGAGTGAGGCGGTGTATTTTGCTCAGTCCTAGCCAGAATTTCCCGGCGAGATTACCGAAACCTTTTCCGTAGTCAGCCCAGTTCCTGTTGAAAGCAACAGATCCATCTTGTCTCCTCTAAAATACAGTCCACCCACCACCATCAGTCTCCATATCACAGTATACCTGTACAGAAATAAATTAATGCAAAGTTGTACAGGAGCCATTACCTGAAAAGCTTCTCCTCCATTTGGTTTTACTGGATAGACTCCACTCTGATTGATCCCCAACTCTTGCCATGCTCTGCAGTCTGGCGGCATCACACAAACTATAAAATAAGAATTTTGAAGTAGTCATAATTATTCCATTATTTTACCTGGTGGAGTATTGACTGATGTGTTTGGAGAGGAAAGGAATTCAGTAGTGACAACCAGTGGAGTTGGAGATGGAGTAGAGGAAGGTAATGGAGTAACTGAAGGAAATGGAGAAGCAGAAGGAGATAGAGTAGGGGAGGGAGATGGTGAAGGTGGGGTATCATCAGGACAGTTTCCAGCTGCAATGTTGGTCATAGCAATAGCTACTATTATAACACATAGCCATTGAGAGGTAATCATGATTGATAATAATGATAGTGCTTTGCCACAGTCTTCTGCTGATGAGAAAGAGATGAGATTGCTCTTCGTTATAATGGACAGACTTGTGATACCTTTTGAAGATGAGTTAGTAAGTCACGTACTTGGAGCATGTGTGGACTTAGTGAAAGTAAATTTATCTTTTAGTGCATATCTTTCAGTTTTTGCACCCCTCCTGAGTGATATGACTACATTGTTCTGTTTGAGACACTTTCTTTTAGTCCACAAAGTGAAAGTAGTCTTGCATTTAAATACTAATATTATAGAAGGTTTACCTGTAGCACCATGCATGTACATGTATGCATGTGTACAGTATATCCATATGCAATTACCCAGTTATATGCATCCTAATTAATTTAGTACTGGTTATTAAGTAATTTAAATTTTATTAACTTGGAACATGGCCGCTGCTAATGACCGCCTTTTGAGTACATTTGTGAAGAGTTTTAAAGATACAGATAGCTCTTATGGTGGATATGATTATACTTTTGTTGATGGTGACCCACCAAGTAGCTACATCTGTCTCATATGTACTTTAGTGTCACGTGATCCTCATCAAGTCTCCTGCTGTTATAACATCTACTGTAAGAGTTGTCTGGATAAGCACAGGAAGAAATCCTCAAGAAATGGGAGATTCAGCTGTCCTGCTTGTCGTAAGCTACTGGATTTAAGGAGCTACTTTAAAGATGGAAGGATGGAGCGTGAGATAAAGGGCCTTAAAGTTCGATGCACCATTGAGGAGTGTGACTGGAAAGGAACTATTAGTGATATCGAAGCACATGTTGTGGCCTGTCCTTATCGAATGGTTGACTGCTCTCTGGGATGTGGGGAAAAGATTGACCGTAGGGAAATGGAAGCTCACCTCAAAGATTGTCCAAAGCGTATAGTCAGTTGTCAGTATTGTAAAGATGAAGGTCCTCATGACATTATAACAAGCGATGCTCATCTTGATGAGTGTTATAGCTATCCAGTTGAATGCTGTCATGAAGGATGTGAAGAGATTAAAGCACGCTGTTTGCTTGAATATCATGAACAAAGTTGCCCTAAAGCTGTTGTCTTTTGTGAATACAGTCATCTAGGATGTGATAAAGTACTAAAGAGGGAAGAGCAAGAAAAGCATAATGAAGAATCTGTAAAAGAGCACTTGCAAATGGCAATCAAACGAGTTGACTCTTTGCAGATGAAAAGCATTGGCAATTCAAGCTCTCAAGTTTTTAAAATGACTAATCCGTCCTCCTATAAATATAATGATCAGGTGTGGTATAGTCCCTCATTTTATACCTCACCAGGTGGCTATAAGATGATGCTTTGTGTATATGCTAATGGTTATGGCAAAGGAAAAGGCACCCACTTGTCTTGTTATACTGTTCTTGTTCCTGGGGAGTATGATGATGAGCTGGGGTGGCCATTTCAAGGAGAAGTCACAGTAGAGCTACTAAACCAACATGAAGATAAAAATCACAAGAAGCTTGTTATCAAGTATGACCAATCAACTCCTGAGGATTGCAAGAAAAGGGTCACAAAAAATAAAGTTTCAGACAAATGGGGGGAAGATCAATTTTTCGCTCATTCTGATTTTCAATTGATATTGCATGCAAATTATGGTTTTTTAGGTCGATGGTATTTCAGAGTCAGTGCAAAGGTTACTTCTAAGACTAAACCATGGCTTGTATTGTAATATTAGTTATTTTAGAAGTTAATTTGTTTCTTTAATTTTTTTTGTCTTTTTCTTTGGAATTAATTTGATGAAGTCCTTATTGGTAAAATAGTTCATACGTCAAGGCAAGTGAAGCCTTTACAACTGGAGTAGCTACTGGTAGATAGTTCTCAGAAAACACCAAATTCATCCCCCAATCTGGTAATTAATATTGTGATATTAATTTTAATAACTGCAAGATGGCTGCTCTTAAAGCTAAAGTGTCTCATGACTCTTATAGTGGATATCATGATTATACTTTTGTCGATGGTGATCCATCTAGTAACTATATCTGCCATATTTGTACTCTAGTATCCTGTGATCCTCATCAAGTCTCCTGCTGCTACAACATATTCTGTAAGACTTGTCTGGAGACGCAAATCAAGCACTACTGAAGGGATTAACATTAACTGTCCTATGTGTCGAGAGCCAATGGGTGCCAATAGCTACTTTAAAGATGGGAGATTGGAGCGAGAAATAAAATCCCTCAAAATATATTGTACCCGTTATGACAAGGAAGGCTGCCAGTGGGAAGGAAGCATTAGTGATTTTACCCGAGAGCATGTCCATACTTGCCTTTACCAATTGATTGAGTGCACTTGTGGCTGTGGTGCTAAAATGCTAAGAACTGATGTGGAGGCACATCTCTCTGAAGTGTGTTCAAAACGAATGATCAGTTGTGAGTATTGTAGACGTAAAGGCCCTCATAATCTGATAACAGGCGCTGCTCTCCTTAATGAGTGTTCCCTTAGTTCTGTTTATTTTTGTGTGTAGTTGTTTACTACTTCTAACTGTCACAATGATTATTATCAGTAATGTGACTGTGATATTTGATGCTATGATCGATTTCACAAATATTGTTATATAGTCACAAGGGACTAGAGTTTAATAATATTTATCATAAGTTTTTGAAATTTTTTTAGTTGTAGCCTTGTTGTCAATATGGCATGTTCTTCATCTTCTGTTGCTTTGAAACTAGAGGAACTTCTCACTTGTTCTATATGCCGGGACTCATTTACTAATCCTAGGATCTTACCTTGTTATCACTCTTTTTGTCAGAGATGTCTGGAAAGAGTACCTCAAAATAAGAAAAATGAAGTATATTATCTCTCTTGTCCTGTTTGTCGTAATGATGCAGAGATCCCGAAGGAAGGGTTTCCTACCTCATTCTTTATCAACAATCTCAAAGACATGCAAGACAGTATAGTGTTGATTGATTGCTTTGATCATAAGAAGCCTTTAGATCTTTTTTGTGACAAGTGTAACACACTTATTTGTTCCACTTGTGCAGTATCTCATAAAGGTCATGGCTATCAAGATATCAATCTCTGCTATGGTAAACACCGTGTTAAACTAGAAGAATGTCTTGAGAAAGTTAAGGCAAAAGAGGATAAAATTAAAAAGAAGGAATTTGTAAAAAGTCTTAACGATAGAGAAAAGGAGATTATAGAGAGAGGGGCTAAAATCAAAAAGGAAATTCATGATACAACAGAGAAGCTTATTGCTAATCTTCGTTGCTCAGAAGAGAAATTAATTAAGCAGGCAGATAATATCACCTATTATAAAGTTCAGTCTCTTTCAAAGCAGAAAGAGTCTGCCGAAGCTATTTTAAGCCAACTCAAATGCCAAAGGGATTTATTGAGCGAGATTCTTCAAGAAGATATTCATCAACAGGTGTTTATGTTAGACAAATTTTGTGCCGAAACAACTAAGTACATTGATGAGATAAATTTAGATGAGTTGAATCCAAATAAAAATGCTGATTTTGTATTGAATAAAAAAGCCAGAGCACCTGCATGTACATGTATGAGTATTGGGGAAATTATTGAAATTAAAGCATTGGAAAGGTTTAAAGTGGAAATCGACTCTACTCAATGGCATTCAAAGAACAAAATTTCGTTTCAGCTGTCAATGGTGAAGGTAAAAGATTCATCTCTTCTGAATGTTTCTGAATCATTTCTTCAATGTAGTCTTGTACAAAATGATCGACCTAATGAACTCATTGTTGCTACTGTTGCTCGTAATGCTGCTCGTCCTGGAGTATATACAATAAAATGCGAGATTAAAGTTACCAATGCTTACACTGTTAAGCTACAGTTGGATGATTTTATATTTGAAGATACACCAATGATTGCTCCCATTAATCCTTACCTTTTTAATGTCACTGCTGTACAAAAAATACCTGGTTTCTGCCTTCCCCATGCTATAGCTATAAATGATGATAGTGCGAATCACATTGCAGTAGTTGAAAAAGATGGTGTTACAATATTGAATAAAGAAATAGTAAAAGAAAATTCGTTTAAAATGGAAGGAGGCAAGATCTGTGGCGCAGCCATCACTAAAAATTTTGTTCTTGTGTCCAGCATTAAAGGGATTCAGAAAATTAGAATGGATGAAGGCACTCCTAAAGTAATGCCACTAAAAATTCGCAAACCTCATGGAATAGCCATTTCACCAGCAACGGGCCAAGTTTATTTTGCTGATAGTGGGCACCATTGTGTGCAAGTTTTGAAGCCTGATCTCACTTTCTCTCATTCATTTGGTAAAGAAGGCCCACAAAACGGAAATTTTACCAAGCCATATGATGTAGCTGTTGACAGCAGAGGGTACGTGTACGTTACCGATTCTTGTAGTAATCGAATTCAAAAGTTTAATTCAGATGGCGCATTTCAAATACAATTTTGTATTCCTGAAAATTTTAAATGCCCACGTTTTATCGCTGTAGACAATGAAGGATATGTGTATGTTAGTCAAAAAAAGAGTTCTCATCTCTCTATCTTCACTAGTGATGGTGTCTTCATTTGTTTCTTTGATATAGAGGGTGTCGATGGTGAGGATATTCATGTTTGTGGTTATCCAACAGGATTAGCGTTTGATAGAGATGGGTCATTATATGTTTGTGACTCTGAAAATGTTATTAAGTGTAAAAAGAAGAAGGAAATTGTTATATAACTCACAACTACTTGTTTTTTCTTAGCTTTTTACAACTTGGCCTGGAAATATAGAGTACTATTATTTTTAGATTTTGCTGCTAGCTTAGATTTTGTTGCTAGTTAGATTTTGCTGCTAGTTAGATTTTGCTGCTAATTTAGATTTTGCTGCTAGTTTAGATTTAGTATAA